AGGTCCTGAGGTCCTGAGTTTGATCCCTGGTACTGCAAAAAAAAAAAAAAGACAAAACAGAAGGGAAAAATGGAAATAAAGCTTTTGTACATAGCAAGGGGAGGGAGTTTAAGGGGAGGACGGATGGGAAAAGAGGTGGGATGTACCATGTACAGGTGCAAGTGCCCTATGATGAGTGTTACTATGTATGCTTAAAATTTACCAATAAATGTTTTGCTGTAAAAAATGAAATATATTTTTAAAATTACACAAATGGGCTGGGGATTTAGCTCAGTGGTGCTGTCATCTGCCTTGCAAGTGCAAGGTCCCAAGTTCTATTCCCAGTACAAAAAAAAAATTACAGAAACATGCATGACATAAAATGTCTCTTTTTTCCTTTTTTTAAGTACTGGGAATCAAACTCAGGACCTTTTGCTTGCCAGGCAGGCATGCTACCACTGAGCTAAATCCCCAGCCCTCTTTTTTTTTTTTTTGCAATGGGGTTTCACTACATAGTCCAGGCTGGCCTCAAATTCACTATGTAGTCCAGGCTGGCCTCAAACTTGTGGTGATCCTCCTGCCGCACATTCTTGAGTGCTGGGATGACAGGCATGGGCCACCAGGCCTGGTGACTTTCAATTCTTTTTTTTTTTGTACCGGGGATCGAACTCAGGTCCTTGTGCTTGCGCAGCAGGCAGCGAAACCACTGAGCTAAATCCCCGGCCCTGACTTTCAATTCTTTTAAGCGAATAACCAGAAATAAAATTACCGAATCATGTGGCAATTGTATTTTTAATTTTTGAAGAACCATCCCATTGGGCCAGGGATTTAGCTCAGTGGTTTCGCCGCCTGCTGCGCAAGTGCAAGGACCCGAGTTTGATCCCTGGTACCAAAAAAAAAAAAGTTGCAAACGGAGTACAAAGTGTGCTCTGCACCCTGATCCAGCTTCCCGCAACATCACACTCTGCATAACCACAGAACATTCAAAGCTGAGGAGTTTCTATTTCTTCCCTTTGGGATGCTTTTTGTTTGTTTTTTTCAGTACTTGGGGTTGAATATTGAGATGCTCTACCACTACATTATACCCTAGATGTTTTTCAGTTTCATTTTGTTTTGAGACATGGACTCAACAAGTTGCCCAGGCTGGGCTCAAACTTGGAATCCTACTGCCTCAGCCTCCCAGAGCTCTGGGATCACAGACATGTGCCACCATGGCCAGTTGTACAGTGTAATCCTTCTTTGTGGGACCCTTGCAGAAAATATTTTCTATTCACCCATTAATGGCTCGGTGTGTGGCTTCCAAATGTTTAAAAAAAAGACATTATCTGCCAGGGATTTAGCTCAGGGTGCTGCGCCTGACTGGCAAGCACAAGGTCCTGAGTTTGAGTCCCAGTACAAAAAAAAAAGACATTATCCTCCTGTGTGTACCAGAAATAAGGTTCTCGGAGTTGGTAAACTGGGACCTCTTCTGCCAGGTTGATGGACACTAAAGATGGGATGAATTCATTTTCCAAAGTGGCCCAGTCAGGCTGGGCATGGTGGCGCACACCTGTGATCCCAACACTAGGGAGGCTGACGCAAGAGGATCTCCATGAGTTTAAGGCCTGTCTGGGCTACATAGTGAGTTCAAGGCCAGCCTGAACCACAAAATGAGACCTTGTCTCAAAAAAACCTAAATAAATAAGAAAGCAAAGTGGCCTGGTTATCCTTTCCCGTCAGTTACCCTGTTGCCCAGGTGAGAGAGATAAAGTGGCCTTTCCAGATAGGAAGAATACACACGTGAGATGTAACATGAGCTGTGCCTAAGCAAGATAAAGGTCACCTAGGATTGAAACTATCAAGAAAGCAACTAGAAACTTATTTCCTGGGAGCAGCAATTTGGTTGACACCCAAATGTCTAGAACAGGAACAGATGTACTGAGAAAAATGTCATTGGGAACAAAGATAAGTAGAATGATAGGAGGGTCGCAGAGCAAATGTGCTGTGTGGTGAAGATAGGGAAGGCAGGGTGTGCAACTACCTTGTGACCCCGACCGTAAAAGTGCCCCATTGATAACCAGCGCAGAGTCAGGTGACCCACTCTGTGTCACTGGGAACAAGGGCACCCCATCCACTCCTCCAGGTACCAGACATAGAGCCCACATCTGCCACATGTGCAGAGGTGGACTAAGAGGGCGGGAGACTATGCCACCATCATCCTTATCCTCAAGACCTTCATGCTCCAGCTGCGCTTGGCAGCGCAGGCCTGTGATCCCACCACTTGGGAGGCTGAGGCAGGAAGATCACCGTGAGTTTGAGCCCAACACAGAGTTCAGAGCCAGCCTGAACTACATAGTGAGATCCTGTCTCAAAAATAATAGGGCCGGGGATCTAGCTCAGTGGCATTGTAAATAACAATCTAGGGAGATGTCTGCAGTAGCAAGACAGTTTACACTGGCTCCCAAGTGCTTGGCTTACTACTCTTCCCAACTTCATAGCTGCTTGCTGGGGATTTAGCTCAGTGGTTTCACCTCTTGCTGCACAAGCACAAAGACCCAGGTTCGATCCCTGGTACCAAGAAAAAAAAAAAAAAAAGAAAAAAGAGTGCATCCTAACTTCATAGCTGCTAGAAAGAAATCTGCTACGGTGAGATGTGGGATATTTATATCACAGAAATGGGCAAATGCTACAAATCAGGTCTCCTCTTCCTCTCTCACTTTCTCTTTCTCTTATTTGAGTCAGGGTCTTGCTATATAGTTCAAGCTGGGCCAGGGATTTAGCTCAGTAGTTCCACCGCCTGCCTTGCAAAGCACAAGGTCCCAAGTTTGATCCCCAGTACAGAAAAATATATATCTATATATACAGATATATATCTATATACATATAGTTCATGCTGGCCTTGAACTCACTATGCAGTCCAGGCTGGCTTCAAACTCACAGCAATCCTCCTGCCTCAGCCTTCCGAGTGCTGGGAAGACAGGTGTGGGCCATGACGCCCAGCTTGCTCTTATTTTAAAATCTTATTTAACAACACATAGCTGATGGCTGGTTGAAGGCAAAGAAGATTAATTAAAACGATAGTGAATACGATCCCTAGTAACAAAAAAAGAAAAGAAAAGAAAAAGAAAAACGATAGCAAACAAACTTTCTTTGGGGACAGAAATGGTTCTGCAGGTGTAGACAATGGTCAAAGCCCAGGGAATTGCACATTCAAGAATGGTAAAGGGGCCGGGGATTTAGCTCAGTGGTTCCACCACCTGCCTCACAAGCGCAAGGTCCCGAGTTTGATCCCCAGTACCAAAGAAAAGAATGGTGAAGGGGCCAGGGATTTAGCTCAGTGGTTTCGCTGCCTGCTGCGCAAGCACAAGGACCGGAGTTCAATCCCCAGTACAAAAAAAAAGAAAAAGAAAAAGAAAAGAATGGTGCACTTATCATATTAGTTATAGCTCAATAAAAAAACGTTTATATACAGCCAAGTGAAAATCAAATGAAATGTGGGCAGGAAGGAAGTAATCAGGAACACACCCAGAGTTAGGAAAAGTAAGGCTATCTCTGAGGCCAGGTGAGTGTCCCCTGATCTGTGGGGTGGGGACCAAGGACAGGTACAAATTCCACATTGTGAAAATCTGCTCGTCTACACTTTCCCCCAGAACACAGCTGTGGCTACACCTTTGCACTTCTTAGAGAACAGCTGTATTTTGCAATTATGGATAATATATGTGTATTATGTACTTCATTTTTCAACCTAGGGTCCCATTCTGCTAGACAAGTGCCCACCACCCAGCTACCTTACCAGCTTCTATTCTGTACCAGGACCTGGCCATAAAGGACTCTGCAAACTGATAAAAGAATAAACTTAGTAACTACTTGGGGAGGGCTGGAGAGCCAGGAATGGTGGTACACACCTGGACTTAGGAGGCTGAGGCAGGAGGATCACTGTGAGTTCAAGGCCAGCCTGAACTACATAGTGAGACACTACCTTTAAACAAACAAACAAACAAACAAACAAAAATAGAATGGGGCATCATGGTCTGGGGAGGATAGGGAATTAGTATTTAGTGAAGCTAGAGTTTCATTTTGGGATGATGAGAAAGTTCTGGAAATCAATGGTAATAATGACTCCACAACCCCAAAAATGTACTTAATGCCCCTAAACCATATAAATATTATATATATGTTAAACATTCGTTTATTTTGCAGTACAAATATTTCAGCATGAACAAAATACATACATGCAATTTTGTCGATAAAAAAAAATTTAAATCGTAAATGTTCTAAAGTTATCTCCTCATGACAGAACAAGAGTAGCTGATAATAAGGTGATGGTGCGAGTTTGCATCTGTATTTGGGAAAGAACAAATTCAAGCGATGGCTCACGCCTGTCACCCCAGCACTCTGGGAGGCCGAAACAGGAGGATAACAAGCTCGAGTCCAGCCTGGGCACCCAGCGATTTAGCAAGACCCTGTTTCAAAATAAAAAAGGGCTGGGATGGAGCTCAGTGCAAAGGCTTTGGGTTCAATCTCCAGTACAAAAACAGAAAGTCTAAATTGAAGATGGGTGACGCTCCCACAACTTCAGAGATTTTCCCGGCTCCCTCAGCCCGGGTCCTTAACACCCAGCGACTTGGGGGATCCAGCCTCTCCGCAGCCCGGCCACCTGTCCGCGCTCACAAACTCAGCCCCGCCCCCAGGCGCACGCACGCGCGCACCAGGGCTACGAGAGCGCGAGCGAGCGAGTGCGCACGCTCCCAACACCTCCTCCAGCCACTCTCTGCCCGTTTCTTTTTGGGGAGGCTGGCTCCACGCCTGCGCACCCGCTGCATCTGAGGGGCGGGGCCCGTCGCGGCTTGCGGCGTTCGTTCGCTCTCGCGAGAGTCCGGCGCGCGATCTCCTGCTGTCCCCTCTTCTCCTTCGGCCTCCCGGCAGCGTCAGCGGCCCTTTTACCTCGGCCCCGGCACGCTAGGTGCCCCCCCCTCCCCCCGTCCTGGTCTGCCGGCCCGCCCGTCCCTGGCCTCCTCGGCGCCGCCCTAGGCCGCGGCCCCAGCCCCGGGCTCGCGTCGGCTCCGCCCGCTCGCGGCCCGCCCCCTATGGGCCCCGGCTAGAGGCGCCACCGCCGCCGGCCCGCGGAGCCCCGATGCTGGCCCGGAGAAAGCCGGTGCTGCCGGCGCTCACCATCAACCCCGCCGTCGCCGAGGGCCCGTCCCCCACCAGCGAGGGCGCCTCAGAGTGAGTGGCGGGCGGGCGCGACCCTCGGGGACTGGGGCCAGGGTCGGGGGTGGCCTGAGCGAGGAGATCCGAGTGACAGGGATTGCTGGGAGGAGACAGGGGAGGGGGTGCTGAGTAGGAAGGGGGCCCTTGCAGGGAGAAATGGGTGAGATCCCAAAGCAGCGAGATTAGGGTGATGGGGTCCTTGGGAGGAGAGGTCCGGGTGCTGCAGGCCTCTGCAGGGAGAGTCAGGGCCCGGTCCCTGAGCCGGGAAATGAGGGGTCCCAGAGGAGGGCACTACAGGGAGAAGACAGGCTGTGGGGTCCCTGAGTAGGGAAATCAGGGTGATCTGGGGATGCAGGAGAGGAGATGACAGGGTGAGGGGGTCCCTGAGTGATGAGGTGGAGGCGGTGGGGGTTCTGGGAGTAGAGAAGGGGATGGTGGGGGTTCTGAGAAATGTATTAGGATCTGGGCTCCTCCGGGGGGAAGAATAGGATGAAGGGTCCCTGAGTGATGAGATGGAGACAGGGTTCGGGATCCCCTGGGAAGAGAGGATGAGGTGAAGGGATAACTGAATAATGAGATCAGAGCAGGGAGGCCCCTGTCGGAAAAGATGGGTGCAAGGGGCCCCTCCTGAATTGCTAAAGGGGGTTGGGTGGTCCCACAATAGTAAAATGAGGGTGAGGGAAGTGTCTGAGAGGACAGGAGGGGGTGAGTGGTCCCCAGTGAGTGACTTGGGCTGAGAGGTCCTGCAGTAGCAAAATCGGGGTGGTGGGTATGTCTGAGTGGACAGGACCAGGTCAGGGTTCCTGAGTAATGAGATCAGCGTCCGGAGATCCCTGCAGGGAAAAGAGGGGTGAGGGGGGTCCAGATGGGTAAGAGAGATACCTGTAGGGAAAAAGATGGGTGAGGAGTATCCTAGGTAGTGAAATGGTAGTAAACAGGGGTCCCTGAGGGTTAGGGGGAGCTGGGTCATGCCACAGTGATATCTAACCAGCCCGCCACACTGGCCAGGGTGTTTGTGGAGTGTCTCCATGAGAACATGTTTGGTGATCTTAACCACTCAACCCAGATGAGGTAGGGACTCTTGATACATGTGTATGTGAGTAAACAGCATCACAGTCAGACATGGGGCCATGTTCAGCAGGTGTGTCCTACACCTGTAATCACAGCACACTGGGAGGCTGAGGCAGGAGGATCACAAGTTCAAACACAGCCTGGGCAATTTGAGATTGCATCTCAAAATAAAGATAAAACTAGGGGTTGTAGCTCAGACCTATAATCCCAGCTCTGATGAGGCTGAGGTAGGAGGATCGCTGTAAGTTAGAGGCCAATTTGGGCTATATGGTAAGTTTGAGGCCTCCTGGGCTACATAGCTAGACCCTATCTCAAAAAACAAACAAGAAGAATTAAAAATAGGCTGGGGCTCAGTACAAAGGCCCTGGGTTCAATCTCTAGTACTGCAAAATAAATTTTAAAAATTCACTTCCCGACTGTGTAAGAAATGAGCTCCTCTTGCCCAAGATTTTCTTTTGCATGGTTCCTGATATCTGTCCCTACAAGAGTTCCCTCTGCAGAGGAACCAGCCTGGGGACTCTGGTTGTTTTTATTTATACATAGAGGGCTCCAGTTGAGTCTCCATCATGTTGAAGGTGGATTAACCAGCTGGCTTCGGACGAATCATTGATGTCACATCAGCGCTGCCTCATCAGCCCTGCAGTGAATAATGCATTCTTTCATTCACTCATACTCATTCCTCCGTCCCTCTCTTGTACCTGTCAGTATCTTGGCATTGCAACATCCGGGTCTTTGTTGAATAGGTGTGTGCCACAGGCACTTGCTCAGGCTCCTGGCCCTGGCTCAGGGTCTTCCTGGTATGTGACCTCTGGCAAAGTACTTAGACCCTGCAGGCCTGCTCTTCCTATCTGGGCTGTGACCCTGTAAGACTACCTCCCCAGGTGATAGAGTGCAGCGAGATGCCCCCCACCCAAAAGGGGTGCCTGCCAGCCAGCTCATTGTAGCACCAGCTCTGGTGACTTCACCAGGCAGCTGGTTATGTCTGCTCTGGTCTGTGTGTCCCTTGGCTCAGGACTCTTAAGTGGATGATGGTGGAGCTTTGGGACTGGAAGCATCCTGTCAGAACACCCTCCCTCCTGCCCTGCCCTGCTGGCATCTCCTCAAGGGCAGCAAACCTTGGTGACCAGGACCCCTGGAGGCACCTGTTCTCCTGTAGAGACCTGAACTTAGATCTGCTGCTGTGTGCTCCATAGCCTGAGTGCAGTCAGCCCTTCCTGTGTGAAGAGGCAGCCATGGCCAAGTTCAAGAGGATGGGAAGCATGCTGTGACAATTCTGGATTTCAGACTTAGTACAAAAAAATTAAAATCAGCAAGCATTAATGTTTTTATATCAATTGCACATTGAAATTTATTTGTGTGCGGTACTGGGGATGGAATCCAGGGCCTTTGCACTGAGTTACACCCCCAGCCCTTTTTTTATTTTTTATTTAGAGACAGGGTCTTACTAAGTTGCCCAGGCTAGCCTTGACCTTGCGAACTTCCTGGCTCAGCCTCCCAGACCGCTGGGATGACTAGCGTGCACAAGCACATCTGGCTCTGTTTGGGCTCGAGAACTGCGTCCCTATTGTTCTACACATACCTTTAATAGTAGTGTGAAAGGACATGGCAGGAGCATGCTGGTTGTACTTAATGCTCCGAAATCATCTACACTGTTTAAGTTCTTCCCCCCTCAGCCTTCCCTCCAGTGCCCACCTTTTAGTTCATGTTCCTGTACGGGTGGTGCAGTTTGTTTTCTACACTTGCTTCTGGTTCTTTTCTCTGAAGCCACTGCAGATACTCACTCCCCATCCCGGGTGAAGACAGGCCGAAAGTTCAAGCCCAGCCAGGGCAACTCAGTGCCTCAGCGAGACCCTGCCTCAGAATAAAAAGTGAAAAGGATTCGGGGTAGAGTACTTTCCTGCTAGCTAGTAAGCTGTTGAGTGTAGGAATCAGGTCCCTGTCCCTTCCATCCTCTCAGGGCCTGGCACAGAGCCACTGTGTGGAGGTCCCAGCTGGGTGGAGTCACCTTGGGGTCTGAGAGGTCCCTGCTGACCCTGGTCCCTGGGCTACCTGCAGGGCGAACCTAGTGGACCTGCAAAAGAAGTTGGAGGAGCTGGAACTAGATGAGCAGCAGAAGAAGCGGCTTGAGGCTTTCCTCACCCAGAAGGCCAAGGTCGGTGAGCTCAAGGACGATGACTTCGAACGGATCTCAGAGCTGGGAGCTGGCAATGGCGGTGTGGTCACCAAGGTCCAGCACAGACCGTCAGGCCTCATCATGGCTCGGAAGGTGAGCAGAGATGTGTGTAGGGCCACAGGCCACCCACCCATGCTCTGTGCTGGGTGTGTGGTAAGGACAGGTGCATGGGAAACAGGAAAGAGGTTCAAGAAGCGGCCAGGTCTCCTGTCCCACTGGCTGGTCCAAGGATCCTTAGACCCCAGAAAAAGCCATTTCCAGCTTCTCAGTGAGGACTTCCTGAGAGATGGAGTCAGTAGGTTGTGTGTGCTGGGGGAATGGAACCCAGGGCCTCATTAGGAAGCGCTCACCGCTGAGCCACACGCCCAGCCTGAAAGAGACAGGAGTTGGCTCACAAGATCATGGTGTCTGGTGGGTGTGCACTGTGTAGGCCATGCTGGCAGACTGGAGCCCCAAGGAATAGCTTATGTTTCCGCTGGAGTCCCAAGGCCTCGCTCTTTTCTTGTGACCTTCGCCTGCTTAGATGAGGCCCACCACATCACAGAGTCACCTGCGTTAACCCGAGTCTTCTGATTTAAGTGTTCATCACATCTGAGAAGACCTTTTTTTCTTTTCTTTTTTTTTTTTGGTGGCACTGGGGATTGAACTCAGGACCTTGCTCCTGCAAGGCAGGTACAGTGCCACTGAGCTAAATCCCTGGCCCACTGAGATCTTCTTGTCAGGCAGGGTGGTGCACACCTATGATGTCAGCACCCTGGGAGGCTGAGGCAGGAGAACTGCAAGTTTGAGCCCACCCTGGGCAACTTAGCAACTTAATGAGAAAGACCTTACAGGGACTATCTAGGTATCTAGCATGGGGTTTGAGCAAACATGGCCCCATGGCCCAGTCTGTGACAGTCACCTGTCTGTGGCATTCGCACACCCTGACACTACCCACCCGCCTGCCTGCCTGCCCACACTGGCTCCGGGCCAGCCTCTCTACTCTGTGATGGAGAAGAATCCCAGGAGGGCTAGGGAGTTGACACAAAGAGAGTGTGATCCTTTGGAGACAGTGGCTCCTAAACATAAGCGCGAGGACTTTGCATTGACCAACTGCCCAGCTCCAGTGTGATCCTGGGCCACAGCCCATCACCCTGCAGTCCCCGTGGGCTGCACAGGCCTCAGTGTCCCTTGAGCTCTGTCCTGCTCCCCATGGGTCTCTGTGGGGATTTAATTCTGTAGATGTTTTTTCCAGCCTCTAGAGCACTCCCGACCACACCCCCAAATCCATAGCCCAGCACTTTTTATTTCTGCCCCTTCCATGTGGGCAGTCTTTGCCCAGCTGGTGCAGCCTGGGAAGTCTTGGGCCTGCCCTGCCCTGCGCGCCAATCTGGACTCACAGGGCGTCAGGGACCCTGAGGACAGCGCCAGTCAGTATGCACACTGGGGCCCGATCAGGTGGTCAAGGGGTCTTTTGGGTGGACCCTGATGTGCAGGGAGGTGGGTGGCCTGTGTCTCCCACCCAGCAGTGCGGGGGAGAGGCACAAGGATGTGGGAACCAGAGCTCCAGATGCAGCGTGGAGCAGGAGTGGGGGAGCGTGGACCCACCAGACCAGCGTCCACTTGGATTGAGAAGATTATTCTGGGCTGTGTGACCTGCTTACCAAGCCCAGCAGATCAACAAAGCTCAAGGAAACTGCACTTGAATTTTCCTTGTCTGTAAATGTTCCTGCTCTCTGCTGTGGCCTTTGGTCCTTTCCTGTGTACTCCTGTGAGCTGAAGGAGCCAAATTCCTGCATCCCTTGAGGCAGGAGAGATCAGCAAAGACCTTAGTGTGTATCTGTTTTGCACTTGGGCTTCTTTCAGTCCCTTTGTCCCCAAGGAGGCCTGGTTCTCCAGCCATGACCCCCTAATCCTGTGCTCGTCTGCCCAGGTCCAGAATGCCAGTCACACAGCACGCTCAGGGGCACTAACTGCTACCCCCCTTTTGCAAAGGACAGCCCCGTACCACAGCAGATGCTGGCTCCTCATGTTTTCTCCTTTAAATCTAGATCATAGCTGGCCACGGTGCCTCATGCCTGTTTTCCCAGCGCACTAGGAGGCTGAGGCAGGAAGATTGCAAGTTCATACACAGCCTGGGCAACTTAGTGACTTAGCGAGACCTGTCTCAAAATAAAAAATTTAAAAAGGGTTGGGGATATACCTCCATGTGAAGGCCCTGGACTCAGTCCTCAGTACAGGAGGACAAAAATGCAGTTCCACTATATGGGTCAGAAACCCAAGGCCCAGTTGAGTCAGGGTCTGGAATGGGTGCAGACTCTCTAGGACCCTTGACCTGGACCCCGACGCAGTGACAGCTCTCAGGGCCAAGCATCCAGAATCCATTGCACTGCAGTTCTCAGCCTATCTCCTTGCTGGCTTCCTGCATCGGGCCACACAGGGTGGTCCCCAGATTGTATTACTGCGCCCACTGTGGACAGGCATCAAGTCAGGGAGAGTGGGAAGTTTCCAGCCCAGAGAGGAGGCTCCTGTACAGGCCCTGGTGGCCGCCACTTGCCATTTTTGATAACTATGAATGTTTGCAAATACGGTGCCAGTCACACTTCTGGCATCCAGATCCCAGCTCCCGAGCTGTGGGTCTGCGACCTGTGATTTAGGATGTGGCTGTGATCATGCCAGACCCAGCCTGGGGTAGGGGGAGCATCTGGCCTGCTCCCTCCCTCCTGTGGCTTGCTGTGACCAGGAAAGTCCTTTTCCCCCTTTTAGAGTTTGTACCCGGAAGGGCCAGGGTGCAGCAATATGAGCTTTTTTTAAGTACCAGAGATTGAATGAACCCAGGGCCTTTGCACCGAGCTATCTCTCCAGCCCTTTTTAGGTTTTTGGGTTTTTTTGGGGGGGGGGCTACCAGGGATCGAACTTGGGACCTTGTGCTTTTGAGGCAGGAGGCGGAACCACTGAGCTAAATCCCCGGCCCCCTTTTTATGTTTTGAGACAAGGTCTTATAAAGCCTCATGTGCTCTCTGAGTCCTCACACTGTTTAGTCTCTGGCTTCTTTCACATTCCTGGTCAGAGCTAGGCTGGGACTATAGTGGCCCCTGGTCAGATGGGGCCACCAGACCCTGAGACACAGCCACTGCCATCAAGGCATGCGGGTAAGCAGAGCACACCCAAGGTCCACAGGTTAATGTGAAAGAGTCTCTTTGATATTTTTACACTGATCTCACGTCTAAACAGTAGTTCTAAAGTGGGACATGGCCAGGTACAGTGGTGCACACCTGTAATCCTAGCACTTGGGAGGTTGAGGCAGGAGGATCACTGCATGTTAGAGGGACTACATAATGATTTCAGCAAACCCTATCAGAAATAATAATAATAATAATAATAAT